AATAATTTATCAAATTAAACACCTCAAATAAAAACTTCATCATGACATCATAACATCAAAGATTAGGAAATCATAAATACATCATTTTGATTTTTCAGGAAATAAGAGGTCGGAAATAACCAGATGTCTTCAACCTGAAAGAATAATGCTATCCACAGATTTGACTTCCTGAAGTCAACAATCAGATCTTCTAAAGACGTTTCCTCAACATGCAGGAATCAGTAGATACACTATGAGCTCTTGAGATTATCTTCTTAAAAAAACAAAGTGTCGTCTCGCTAGAGACAGTCTTCTTAAAAATAAATTTTGCATCGCTTGAGACAACTTTCTCTTAAAAACAAATTCTGTCTCGTTTGAGATATTTTTCCACAAATTTTGAAAATCTTAAAAATAAATTTTATCTCGCTTGAGACAATTTCTCTCAAAAAAAATTCGTCTCGCTTGAGACATTTTTTCTCTGAGACATAAATTTAAATGTGATTCATTTGAAACAAAATTAAAATTATTGGAGATTTTCAAAACTGATTCGTCTCGCTTGAGACAGTTTCCCTTTTAAACATAAATTCTGAAATTGTTTCGCTGGAAACAAAATTTACTATCTTTGAGATTTTTTCTCTTGAAACAAATCTTATTTTCCTTGAGACCTCTTCTCATGAAACAACAAATCATCTTTAAGTTATTTCCCTTGAAATGAATTTTATCTTTGAGTATGTTTCTCTTGAAACAAAACCATCTTTGAGTCATTTCCCTTTAAACGAATTTTTTCTTTCTTGAGACAGTTTCTCTTAAAACAAAATCATATTTGAGTCGGTTTCCCTTGAAATCATTCTCCTTAAAGATGGTTTGTCGTCCTCATCGCATAAGAACCATGTCATCCCCCAACCAGACCTCCTTATTACATAGGAGTCATGTCACCCCTGATAACCAGTCATCCTCATCATGTAGGAACCGAGTTATCATTCCTAAAGATGGTATGCCGACCTCATCACGTAGGAACCGTGTCATCCATCGACCAGACCTCCTCATCACGTAAGAGCTGTGTCACCCCTAGATAACCAGTCGTCCTCATCGCATAGGAATAGTGTTATCACCCTTCCTAAAGATGGCCAGAACTCTTCAGCACGTATGAGCCGTATCATCCCTAACCAGATATCCTCATCATGTAGGAGCCTTGTCACCTTTAGATGACCAGACCTCTTTATCGCGTATGAGCAGTGTCATCCCCACCAACAAACACATCAAATCTCAAAACCCAAAAAAAAAAGAACCAGACAAAAACTGGTTGTCTTTTTCGTCTTTGCCCTATTCTTGTTAACACAAGAATGTGCAAAAAGGGACAGCTGTAGACACTCGTTTTTGTTCGGGTCTACAAAAAAATATTATTTTATTATAATGTTATTATTATTATTAATTATATTGTTTACAAATTTTGCAGTCTTGATTCGGAGCCCAATCCCATAGCCTAATACAATCCAGCAGCCCAATATATATAAACCCCAGAAGCCCAACCCGTTTACAAGTTCAAGCCCAAACCCTGCTCAATAGTCTACCCAAACCCAAATCCAGACATGTGTCCAAGAATCGACCCGAACCAGACCCTCCTTAGTAGATCTAACCTGACCTAATTAGGGTTTTTAAAACCCTAATCCTAGATAGCTACTATCACCGCCTGTTGCTTCTACCGTCGCCGTTCCAGCAGTAGCATCTGTAAGACAAAATTAGCATAACCCTAAATAATATTTCATATCATATTTCTAGATCTAATGATTTAATTCATATCCTATTTCTAGATCTAATGATTCCAGCAACTAAAATAGCATACCATAAAACAAAAGGATAAACTATTCGGTGGGGACAACAGAGAGAGTTTTCGAGAAGAAAAACAAATAGAAAGGAAAAAACTAAGAGAGCAGATAAGGAAAAAGAGAGAAAACCGGATCAAAAAGAAAAAGAATTCGAACAAAAGAAAAAATCAGGGAAATAAAAGAAGAGAAAATGAAATCACTGAAACATACCTTGTAGATCTGTCCCTTAGCAACATCACTAGAGCTTGAAGAACCCCAAACCAAAGGTAAAGTATTCTTTTTTCTTGGATTTAGGGTTTAAAAGAGGTCTCGGGTTTTTCTGGGTAGTGAAGGGTTGGGCTTCAAATAAAAAAGAAAGAGGAAAGCCAGAGGGTAGTCTCGGTCCATTTTTCCTATGTCATCGACGCCGATAACAACGGCTGAGGCTCTTAGAATCTCTTAGAATCTCTTCACGGCGTAGGAGTGAAGAGAGAACGAGAGAGTATGGTTCTCTCTCTCTCTCTTATGGCTTGGATGAAACTGAAGGAAATAAAGGGGATGGCATATTTTGGCATGGCTTTGTTACATATATATATAACATGAAACGACGTCGTGTAGATAAGAAGCCATGCGTTTAGCGCATGGGTTAATCACACAGTGAGGGTTTCAACTTTGTAAAATTTGCATTTTGGCCACTTAATGAAAGTTTCATCATTCCATTCTGGTTCCTTCTTTTATTTTACGTTTTATTTCAGTCATTATATTTTAGCTATAATCTTTGTTCATATTTAGATTTTGGACCTTTAATTGCGTAATATTTTATAGTCCTGAATATTTATGAATGTGTAAAATCGTGTGTTTTATGTTTTAAAGCATATGTTTTGCCCCGAGTTCATTCTAGTCACCATCTTTAATGCCTATGTGTTTTGGGTTTATTGCTCATTGGGTCCTTTATGTTCCTGTCTAGTTCATTTTAGTCCTAAGCTTTATTTATGGGTTATTTTTTTCTAATACCTGTATTATTTAATATTTTTTATTTAGGCCCTGGTTTACTTTGTAATTACTATTTTAGCCCTTTAAGTTTCTATTTTTTCTATTTTATTCCTTTAATTTTCTATTTTTATTATTTAGACCCTTAACTTTCAATTTTTATTGTTATAGCCCTTTAAGTTTTCGATTTTTTCATTTTATTCCTTTAAATTTTTCTTTTTCTTTTTTAGTCCTTTAAGATTCTATTTTTGTGATTTTAGTCCCTTCAATTTCTATTTTTGCTATTTCAGTCCCTTAGGTTTCCTTTTTTGCTATTTTGGTCCTTTTAAATATAATACGATTATTTATTGTTTTCATTATTTGTAATTTAATATGTAATATTTCTTTTTTATTATTTGATTCTTTTACATATGTATTTGTTTTACATATTTTGTAATTATATGTAAAATGGGAAATTTCATTGTGAGGGAAATCTACGAAGTCATCTCCCAACTATAAGGGAAGGCGTTTTTACGATGATTTTTTGCATAAATGTTTATTTTTTATTCGATAAATTCTCTTTGTTACACGTTTATTTATTTTGAATATTTTCAACTATTTTTTACTTTTATTTTATCTTTGCGAAATTTGCAAAATGACGTTTTTGTGAGGGTAATCTATGGGAAAGTCTCCTAGCTGCAAAGGAAGTGCATTCTTGAAGATTGTTCACACAAAAGATCATTAGTTATCCCTAAATTAACACTTTTTGAATAAATTTGAATAAATAACAGGATCGTAACTTAAATATATTTTTGAGTTTGCAATTCCTAATATTTAAACAACCTATAATTGTTTAGGTACCAAAATTTGGGTGTTGTGGGGGTTCTAACCCTTCCCCACACGTAACCAACTCCCGAACTCTTAAAAACGAATCTTTGGTAAAACGCAGACTATTTTTTTCGACGTTTAAGATTTCCAACCTACCTAACTTAATGGTTGGTGGCGACTCCAAATCAAACCGTTTTTCAAATCATATTTTATCGTCTTTCCCCAAAACAAATTTTTTAAGTCTAACGGATCCCCCAGGGAAACGTTATGACACTTCCAACATTTTCCTGAACTCTTAAGGGTTTGGTTGCGTCTCAGATATCGGTTTGGCAGCAATTATGAGTCCAATGCCTCCACCTGCAATGCAAGTCGCAGGTTATCGTGCACCAGAAGAAACAGACACCAGGAAAGCAACTCAAGCATCTGATGCATACAGGTAAGGGATCGTGTTACTTGAGCTCTTAAATGAAAAATAACCGATACATGCCACCAGTGGTGAGGAGATCGTTCACCTGGTGAGGTGGGTGGATTCTCTGGTTAGAGAAGAGTGGACTGCAGAAGTTTCCGATGTAGAACTTTTGCGGTATCCAAATATCAAGGAGGAAATGGTGGAGATGCTACAAAGTGGGTTGAGTTGTGTCGTGAGAATGCCGGAGCAGAGACCGAAAATGTCCGATGTAGTGAAAATGATAAAGGGAATTTGGCGGGCAAGCATGGGGAACCAACCATCCTCTAAAACTAAACCAGAAACCTCAACTTCGAACCATCCACCCTCTGAAACTAAACCAGAATCCTCAGCCGAAATCGTTGTCTTCATCTGTTCCATCATCAGTTCTATAAAATTTAGAACTCAACCCAAAATGGTACTGGACAAATTAAGTTGTTTTACCCCATAGTTCAATATAAAATATGATAGCAAGATTAGTTTAGCTTTAGCTACCCTGATATAGGTATGATGATCGCTATTGTATCATTCAAACAGCAGGGAATTAATGGTTGAATATGATAAATCCCTTTTTTCATACAAACATTGGCAGCACATGATACAATTTTTTCTCAGTTCCAAACAAAGCATCGAGCCAAAACAATTCCCGGCGATTCAGAACATAAAGATAATATAATATAACCTATTAAACGACCTCAATGGATAAAGAAAATATTGTTATCCTTAGAGGTCCCGAATTCAAACAACTACGTCTGAAGGGTGTGTTTACATATTCAATAACTAAGAATGATTTTAAACAGATACTACCGTATAATTACCCCAGACTATTCGGGGAAAAATAAAGCTAGGATGATATACTCCATTAAAGTTATACACAGATGTTCTATTTTGACAATTTCTACCATAAGTAGAGATATCAAATCCCAATCCACGGGTAACCAAAAGTTGAAAGAATTTTATACAATACCCTTTTCTAAATATGAATTGCAGACAGTAAATACTCCATTAAAGTTACACACAGACATGTTCTATTTTGACAATTTCTACCATAAGTAGAGATATCAAATCCCAATCCACGGGGAACCAAAAGTTGAAAGAATTTTATACAATACCCTTTTCTAAATATGAATTGCAGACAGTAAAACACATTGATCAGTAAGAGAAAAAGATAAACGTGTCTTTCTGGTAGTGGCCTCGAAGAGAAGCAGAACCTCACACATAAACCAATGAATCTTATATTTTGTGCATTTTGGACTGCATTTCACCACAAGATCTCACTCAAGGAAAATACATATTTGCAACTCAGTTACTTCTTCACAATTTTTGTTCTAACACCCCCTGAAAATTTGCAGAAATAATCCTCGTTTCAGTAACAAATAAAACACATGTAAGAACATTTGTAATGTGCATAGTATCACTTACCTTCAGCTCCCTCAAACTGAACTTCTTTAACATCATCAGCTGAAGCATTATATTCAAACCTAACAAAAGAAGATCCAAATAAGCAAAGATTAAGTAGATTAACAGCATCATAAATGTTTAACAAATCAAGGGAAAAATTAACAAATTAAAGTGTAAAATGATAGAATTGAAAGAAAACAAAAGATTCTTAGCAACTAAACTAACACATATATTCTCCAATGAGAAACCTGATGTTGAACATATTTAGGTTAAAGTCCTAGAAATGTCATCTACAAAAGCAAATATGTACCAGATATCTAAAGCTTTCTGTAAAAGCTCTAAAGAATAAACTTACATTGTTGGCTAAGATTGTTGGTAAAATGTAATTAAAGGATGCCAACAAACTGGCTGAACACGAAACAACTTGTTCAAAGCAAAGAAACATACTATATGGTCGAAATACTGGCAGTTGAAAAAACGTATAATTACCTATTGGAAAAGACCACCTCAAGTTCATATTCAGAAGCACTTTTGGTAGCATCAACCAAGACAGTTACAATTTCGGTTTTGCGGGTACTAGCCATAAGTAAATCATACTCTGTTGGGATGATAATTGCGAAGAAATTATCGCTTAATTCACTCAAACACATCTTATCAACAGCTGCTAAAGCTATACGCCGTTTAAGGGAGCCACTGTCAGGGTCAACAATGTAAATTGCAAAATCGGTGATCATAAGAATCCGCCGTTTCATCTTCCCCGATGAAGTGAACTTCAAAACTTTATCAGCAAATAGAACTTGCTTGTCACCTGCAGATGTAATTACCCAAAATAAAAACGAAAAAGAACCCAAATCTAGTTATCATTTGTCATTACCAAAAAGAAAAAACAAAAGACAATTCTTTTTTTACTGTGATTCTCAGTTCATACAAACTATAGACAATACAAGGATGTAAGACCTTCCGTATCATATTCAAATGTTCTTATAAAATCGAAAATAATAATTGAAGGAAATGGGTGGGAAAAGGTGACCTTGTTTTTGCAAGATCTTCATTAAGAAGGAGCGGGAGGGGACATCCAAGTAATCCCCTCTGAATTCTCTACGGAGGGATGCTTTTCTTCTGACTTTGATTCCCATGAACGGCTCCTGATCTTCCGTCACATTGCTATCCGACGGTCTCAATCGCATCCCGTTTTCTTCTTGTTGTTCTTCATCGTTGTAGTACTTTGGGGGCTGCGATTCGTCAACTCGGACTCGCCGTTGTGCCTTGTTTCGATTCATCGTCGATCTAGGCGAGTCGAAGTCGCAGTCGGCGGCCGCTGATTTTGCTTTTGGGAATTTAAAAGGAGGAAGAAAAAATTGAAGGCAAACAAGAAAGAAGAGGTTTCTATATTTTTAGGGTAAAGTATATAAATGGTCAATGAACTTTTCAGATACTTGCATTTAAGTTCTCCAACTTTTAAACCTTATAATACAGTCATCAAATATTTAGTTCATTTGTAATATGGTCCCGACGTAACGGTCTTTTCACCGCCGTTAGGATAAATTATATAAATGGTCACTAAACTTTTCATGAGCTTGCATTTAGGTCCCCCAACTTTTAAAACTTGCAATACAACTATCAATTACATTTTAAACCTCAAATTCCAAAATACTTCAATTACATATTGTAAACACTCATTTTCGTTCGTATATATATATATATATATATATATATATATATATATATATATATATATATATACATATAGTTTGTAAATGGTTTTTGAAAATACGTTTTTAAAACATTTTGAAAATACGTTTTTAAAACATTTTGAAAATATATATAATATATAATTTTTAAAATCATTTTGAAAATTTATATATTATATAGTTTTGAAAACATTTATATATTATATAGTTTAAAAAAAACATTTTGAAAATATATATTATATAGTTTTTTAAAACATTTTTGAAAATATATATATTGTATAGTTTTTTAAAAATATTTTTGAAAATTTGTATAATATATAATTTTTAAAACATTTTGGAAAATATATATAATATATAATTTTAAAATATTTTTTGGAAAATATATTATAGTATATGGTTTTGAAAAAACATTTTAAAAAAATCATTTATAAAATATAGTTTTAAAAAAATATTTTTCTTTATTTATTTATTTATTTGTTATTTGTTATTCTTTTCTTTTCTTTTTTCCCTTTTTTCGGTCCAAGTTCAAGTTTCGGGTCCAGCATTGAGTTTGGGCTTGACCTAGCCTAGTGTAGTTTAGGGTTTGCAAAATCCTAATAAATGTTTGTCACAGGCACCGCACAGGAGGGAGTCAAAGGGTCATGAGCGAAACGGTCGGTCATTATCCCAGGACTGACCCATCCCGGGATGACCGGTCACACATGCACGGGGAAATCAGAAAACCCCCTCATTATGGGGCCAACAATAACCACATCGGGGCTATAAAAGCCCCCGGTGGGAACATCATCGATAGAACACGAAACCCACCAGAATAGCAAGCAAAACAGTGAGACCCAAAAGGCCACAAACCCAAAACAACACAGTATCATAATCAACGACATCAACAGTAAACCAAACACCCAACACAGAAAACGCAACCAACACACGAGTCGATGTAACACAAAACAACCATTATCGAGCAGCCAAGTTCACAAGCAAAAACACAAAACAAAGATAGTAAAGTGTCAACACACTTTTTCGTCCTACTAGGATTCAAACTCCTAAAAATAGGATAGAATTTTGCTAGGATTCAAACTCCTAAAAATATGATGGAGTTCTACTATTATTTAAACTCCTAAAGATAGGATCCACAAGCATTATAAATAGTCATTGTAACTCACTATTGTAACACATTCGGAGGAGGATATACGAAATACCAAGCAAAAAATTACAAGCAACTCGTAGCCATTTTTCGAAGCATTTATATTTTGAAAGGTAAAGTTCATACCTTCGCATGTTATTTTTCCTTACCCTTGTTGTGTTTTGATTTCAAAAGAAAACTGAGAGAAGTGTTTTTGGCCGATGAACGGGGGCGTATTCGAGATCTATTTTTGTAGATCTAGTCCCTGAGGCTTGTGTTTTTGAAAAACTATTCGGATTTTTATAAACGGGTCGTGTGGATCCGCGTGTTTTATCGTTTTTTTCTTCGATTGGCTTTTAATTTTGACCCCTAATTCATTTTTTATTTTAATTTAACCCTTATTATTTATATATATATATGTATATATTTAATTATATATAATTTATTTATTTATTATAATTTTTTTTTCATTTTCTTTGTGTTATATTATATTATTTTCCTATTATTATATATATTATATTATTATTTTTTATCTATGTTTACTTATTTACTATGTTTTTTTTACTATATTTTCCTAACGTTATATATATATATATTCTTACTTTATTTTATTTTATATTTCTATGATTACTATTTTTTTAGTTAATATTATATGTATATTTATTTTTCATTTATTTATTATTATTATTACTATTTAGTATTTTATTATATTATACATACATTTTATATTTTTATATATATATTTTTTATTATTTTATTTATACTATTTATTTATTTTCATTATATTTTTAGTTTCTTTGCTATTATTATTATTTTTCTTTTTTTTTTAAAAAACACTTTATATTTTTTATTCTTTTTTGTATATATATTTTATCTTCATTTATTTTATTTTATTCAATTTCATTTTTTTTTCATCCAATTATTTTATGTTTATTATTATTGGTTTCATTTATTTCCTTTGTTTACTCTTTAGTTTTGTTACTTTCTTTTATTATTATTATTTTCTTTTAAAATCTTATTTTTTAAGGGTATTTCCGTAAACTCATTAAGGGTAAGTAATTCGGATCAAATTTTACCTTTTAATTTAACTTGTAATTTTCTTAATCAAAGACAACTAGAAATTACGTAGTACCGAAAGGACGGTTCAAGGGTGCTCATCCTTCCTTGACCGTAACCGACTCCCGAACCCGACACATCTTTGGAAAGACGCAGATCAGGTAAGAAATAGAGTATCCGATCAACCCATTTGTTTTAAATAAATGATCGGTGGCGACTCCAATCCACATTTTTCAAGTCGAAGCCCAATTTCGGAGCCCAACCGAAAGACGGTTACGACAGCTTGGCGACTCCGCTGGGGACAGGTAAGTGAGTCAGGCTAAGGTAATTTTAGTTGTCTTTTTAACGAAAAGGGTAAGTTTAAATTTTAAGGTAACATTTCGATCATTTTTTTATTTACTTTTAATTATATTTTCGGGTAAATAGTTGTACTAATCGTTTTCTCATGATTTCAGCCTTCAAATCTTTTTCATTTATCTTAAGTGGGGGTAAAAGCGACGCCTTCGTGTGAATTTATTCACCGTGCGGGCCTAGCAAGTAGCCTTCAGGAATCATATATCTTATGTCTTCGTGTGAGTTTATTCACCGTGCGAGCATAAGGGAATGTGTCATCTCGAGTTTAACTTAGTCCACACAAGCCTGTGATGGGTTTAGGACTAAGGGTCTGGCAAGCCCAAGGGGGCACCAGCAAGGAGAACTCGGGTATCGTTTTTAGAACCTAAACCGAGAAACCATGGAGAATTAGAGCCTACCCCGAAACCACATTCCAAAACCTATGATATTTTTACTCTAACCATTTTCTTTTTTGTGTTTTTTTTCTTTCGTCATTTTATTTTTAATTTTATTTTACTAATCATTTTGCGTTTGTGTTTGTTTTCTAGCATTTGCATCATAACAAGAGGTTATTGATCCTTAAAAAAGTTTGTTAAACACAAAATAAATCCGAATTAATGGACAAAGGTGATGTAATACAAGAGATTAAAAACGCTGAGGCATGACTATGGTTCGAGAAGACTTAGAAAGAGAAGGGAGACAGTCTTCAGGGAAATTATGTGTCAAAGCTTGTTAGTTACGCATCTGTCAGCCTGAAACAAAATGATGTCCAAGAACTGCAAAATATTTGGGACAGTTGGGGGAATGACAGAAAGAAGAAGTTCAGCCAACGATATGGTGATATTGCCCTCTTACTCCATGTCATGACTGATGAGCCCCTGCTCTGAGCATTAATTCAATTCTGAAACCCGAGATATAGTTGTTTCACCTTTAACCGGGAGGACATGGTGCCCACAATTAAAGAGTATACTACCCTAATGCACTACGAAAACATCAGACTAGAGAGGGCATTTATTAAACACATCAAGAGTCAGCCTTTCAAGAACGGACTAGTTAAGATTGCAGGGGTTGATGAAAACTGGGTGACTGGTCGACTTCGACACAAAGGTAACGGGGAAGGAATCGAGTGGATCCATATGAAGCAACTAATGAAGAACCACCATGATGAATGGAAGACTATAGATCTTTTTGCACTGGGTCTGTACGGTTTGATTATCTTTTCGAAGACCTTGGGGTGCATCGACGCAGTCGTAGTAAAACTATTTGAACAACTTCCAAGGCGAGTCAACCCAGCACCGACCATCTTAGCCGAGACCTTTCGGTTTCTTAATCATTGCAGAAGAACTGGTGGAGGAAGGTTCATTGGATGTGTTCAGCTCCTTCAAGTCTGGATTCACAACCACTTCTGGAAGACTAACGGGGTTGTCTACCGCCGATTCAACACTACCTATTCACCATTGGGAGAGTTCATCACTATAAAATGGTATGAAGGCACTTTGAAGGAAGAATGGATGAAGGTCTTCACTCATCTTCAGGACCGTGATATTACTTGGAGAGCCCTCTGCTTATTCCTCAGTGACGTTCTTTTCTGATTTAGGGATTCTGACACTATGACCTTACTTGGACTTTGGGGTGCAGTTGGGTATGCTCCATTGTTGGCACTTAGACAGTATGGGGCACGTCAGTTATCCCAGCAACATACGGATTATCTACATCAGAGTTTTTGTATCACGGTGACAGTTATAAGAAGAGGATCAAAGAGGCAGTCGAGTCATGGAAGAAAGTATCTCGGATAGATGTCGTGGCTGCCAGAGATATGCTTACTCTGGATTATATGGAGTGGCGAAGGTTGAGAAAGAATGATAGCATCCCGATGCCAGACTGTGAAGATACCCGGACCATGGAGGAACATCTCAGGCCTGTCCCTTCTGAACTTGAAATAGTCAAGGCAGAGTTTGAAGCTGTGAATAATGAGCTGAAACAGAGAGTTAAGGAACTTGATGCTAAACGTTATCAATGGAAACTAGATGTCGATTCTCAGAAAGATAGAGCAGATAAACTGGAAAGGGAGCAGAAAAGAGTATTTTTTGAGCTTGAAGACTTGAGAAAGGGGTACCAAGATAAAGTCAAGGATAACTCCTGAG